GTGGGCATGATAGAGATGATGTAAACGTATAAGTGCTCTTGCTTTGTCACGAGTCTTTTTCCAGAAGGCACGACTTTCTTTTTTGTTCTTATAGGTCTCTTTATAATTACATTTTCTCTCAATACCGCAGAATAGCTAAATTTTGCGCTGATACCATTCTGACTAAGACGCTAAGATTAATAATAATTAAGCCTTTCTTATCTTCTTATATATAAAGCTGAATGTGTGTTTGTCTGTATGTATGTCTGTACGTATGTGCGGAATGGAAATTTTTATTTCTGAACCGATTTGGACCAAACTTGGCACACATACACTTCGGGGCAGGGAGCGTGTCATAGGATACTTCTCGTCGTCGATCGATATCGATTTTATCGATTTTTATCGGTTTTTTGCTGAGTTCACCTAAGGGGCTAGGAGCTGGCACAGGGGGTAATTGAGTATGCTGATTACGAATGCAATATTAGTTTCCAAAATTATCGATTACTTTTATCAATTTTATCGTTTTTTTGCAAAGTTTGAGCTATAGGGCTGGGAGTTGGCACAGTGGGGTAAGTGGGCCTGGCGATTCCGAATACAAAATTACTTTTCATAATTATCGATTACTTTTATCGATTTTATTGATTTTTTGCAAAGTTTGAGCTACAAGGCTGGGATTTGGCACAGGGGGGTGTAAGTGGGCATGGCGATTCCGAATACAATGTTAGTTTTCAGAATTATCGATTACTTTTGTCGATTTTATCGATTTTTTGCAAAGTTTGAGCTACAAGGCTGGGATTTGGCACAGGGGGGTGTAAGTGGGCATGGCGATTCCGAATACAATGTTAGTTTTCAGAATTATCGATTACTTTTGTCGATTTTATCGATTTTTTGCAAAGTTTGAGCTACAAGGCTGGGATTTGGCACAGGGGGGTGTAAGTGGGCATGGCGATTCCGAATACAATGTTAGTTTTCAGAATTATCGATTACTTTTGTCGATTTTATCGATTTTTTGCAAAGTTTGAGCTACAAGGCTGGGATTTGGCACAGGGGGGTGTAAGTGGGCATGGCGATTCCGAATACAATGTTAGTTTTCAGAATTACTTTCAGAATTCAGAAACACAGGGGGGAGGGTAATCGAGCATGCTGGTTTCGAAAAACACAGGGAACGGGAAACGAAGTATAGAAGTGGGTACAGGGAAAGGCTGTACAGGGATAGGGAGACCTTTATTACAGTGTTTTGACAGGGCCGAGCGGAGCCGAGTAAGCACGCTAGTTAGAAACGCTCTTCAGCACAACCGGAAAGAATTTCTGAACGTTAGTGCTGGAGATCGAAAAAGAAAACGAAAACAAGCGATTGAGTTTTCTGTGCTTCTAGATGGATAGAGCTTTTTGCAAATCTAAAGCGATGTTCTGCCTCTTCTTTCTTTGCTTGCTCTGCATTTACTCTTTTACGGCCCAACCTTTTTATCATAGTGAATCGACAAGACCTTTAAACAAGAAGCCGTTCCGGTTTCATAACTCAGTATAAGGCTACCCATTGAGTCCCGTAACCACAAAATGGTTGGAAGAACCAGATCAATTACTTGGATTCATGGCCAAGATCATCATAACTTATAATAACGGGCTAAGGGTGTTTACGTGACTTTGTGTGTGTGTGTGTGTGTGTGTGTGTTTGTGTGTGTGTGTTTGTGTGTGTGTGTGTGTGTGTGTGTGTGTGTGTGTGTGTGTGTGTGTGTGTGTGTGTGTGTGTGTGTGTGTGTGTGTGTGTGTGTGTGTGTGTGTGTGTGTGTGTGTGTGTGTGTGTGTGTGTGTGTGTGTGTGTGTGTGTGTGTGTGTGTGTGTGTGTGTGTGTGTGTGTGTGTGTGTGTGTGTGTGTGTGTGTGTGTGTGTGTGTGTGTGTGTGTGTGTGTGTGTGTGTGTGTGTGTGTGTGTGTGTGTGTGTGTGTGTGTGTGTGTGTGTGTGTGTGTGTGTGTGTGTGTGTGTGTGTGTGTGTGTGTGTGTGTGTGTGTGTGTGTGTGTGTCCGTCTGTCTGTAACGAAATTCATAGAGCGAGTTCCAGCCAATGTCCTGAGCCCAAATTTTGCACAGCGCATGCTACCAGCGTAGAACTCCACCGTACAAAATCACGAGCAAATTCGTTGGGTGGATCCATTAGAATTTGCGAGTCAGACGGATCCACTTGGCCTCTGGCCCGCAAAATTGGGTCTGTATCAGCGCTTTTTGCAAAGTCGTGGATGAGCTTGGCATGTTGATGTGCAAGACATGGACTTTAGGCGAAAAAGTGACCAAAGGTCTACTACTATACTAGAACGACGCCAAAAAGAAATGGTTGGGCAAATGGTCAATCCGCCGTTGCTTTACCTGACCATTTGAGAGGATTTTTGCATAGAAATGTAGCTCACGGTAAATGTTGTCCTTATGGCGACTACCAAGCCAAAAGAAGTTTAAAAACCTAATCGAATTTGCATTTGTTCTTCTGCGAAAAGTTCCATCCACGCGAAATTACCGATCTCACATGAAAAACCCTTTGAAATGAGTAGTTGTTTACATTTCCTTCGTGGTAGTCGTCATTGCACGGTGAGTTTCAAAGACATCATTAAGCGAGAACAAGTAAAGCATATAAAGAAAGACCAGTGCGAGCCTCTGCGAAGCAGAGGTGACGCACTGGTAACTTGTAATAACGAGCCAAGGGTGTTTACGTTTTTTTGTGTGTGAGTCTGTTTGTCCGTTACGAAATTCGTAGAGCGTGTTCCAGCCAACGTCGTAAGCCCAAATTTTGCAGAGCGCACGCTATCTGCATGAAAGCCCATCATGCAAAAGCATGAGCGGATCCGTCGAGTGGATCCGTTGAAAACTGCGCGTCAAACGGATCCACTTGGCTCCTGACCAGCAAAATTGGGCCGGCCGGTATTAACACTTTTTGCGAAGTCATGGATATATTTGACAAGCTAATGTGCAAGCCATGGACACTAACCCAAACAATTGAACTAAAGTTGATTAGTTTACGAAAACGGCGCCAAAAATAATAAGTTACATTAATGTTCACTTTGCCAAGATTTTACCTGATCCTTTGAGAAGATTTTTGCACAGGGATGTAGCCCACGGTGATTATCGTCGTTATCGCGATTATCAGGCCATAAAAAGATTAAAAACCGATTCAAATTCGCATTAATTCTTCTCGGAGAAGTTTCATCCACGCGAAAATACCGATCTTACACAAAAAAGCTCTGGGAATGTGTTGTTTACAAATCATTTGTGACAGCCTGCATGGCTCGGTGAGTTTCAACGTCATTATTATGCGAGAGTGAGTTAGGATACAGAAAGTAGGGCCAGTGCCAATTACCAGTGCGAGCCTCTGCGAAGCAGAGGTGACGCACTGGTAATTCTATAATACCGTATCAAACCACAAAGCAGAAAAAGAAAACAGGCAAAAAATCGGTTCAACTGAGTTGATTGAAAGTTATGATTGAGGGTTGCACTGCCGCGTTCCACGCTAACGAGCCCCTCAACGTTTGCCGCTTACGTCTCTTCTTAAGATACATCAAAACAGTAGCATAACCAGGGTCAAGCAGGGGGTGTGACACACGATCGCTGGTTACGACCTCCCCCCTAATTGCTGGCTCAATAAGACCCATCTGAATTATATACTTAAGATAGCATTACCTGAAGGCCCTGTCAAACATAATGGGCAACATATCCATAATGAGCATGTCAGTTAACCCTGTAGACAAAATTTGAGCGAATTCTGAAGATTCAAGATACTAGGCTACCTAAGCGAAATGGTCATTTTCCAACATGATTAACTTTGTTTCAAAAGTGAATTAGCTATCCGTTTTTGTACTCAAGACAAAGCACTACTCCTTTTTTGTCCATCTCATCCCGTTTTAAAAGACCTCCAAATTGTGAAATTAGAGGTCATCCAAAAGCACGTTTTCCCACTTTCCTCTTTTGATGGCTGTGCTTTCACCAACTATTACTTAGCGCAACGAAAACGAATCAGGCTCAAATCACTTCTATGAAAACTAGGAAATCTAGGCTATCGATCCATATGAATATGGTTCGCTAAAAATCTTTTTATGACATAGTTAATGGGGTGTGCCACACCCCCATGGACTATATAAAAAAAAACATTTTTAGCGAACAGTATTTATATGAATCGATAGCCTAAACCTCGTAAATTCCATAGGAATGTTTTAAGCCTGCTTCATCTTCTTAGCTTTGAGTAATATTTGGTGAAAGCACAGCAATTAAAAGCGAAAAATGGGGAAAATGAGATTTTGGTTGGCTTCTAATTCCACAGCTTGGAGTTCTTTTGAAACGGAATTTCTGGGATGGACAAAGGAGGAGTAGTGCTTTGCCTTGAGTGCAGAAACGGATAGCTAACTCACCTTTGAAACAGAGTTAACCCATGTTGGAATATGACCATTTCACTTAAGTAGCCTAGTATCTTGAATCTTCAGAATTTTCGCTCGAACTTTGTCTACAGGGGTTAATTGACATGCTAATTATGGATATGATACGAATATCATGTTATCACTATTATCAGATTACCAAACTACGACCCCCTCCCCTTTTGACTCCTCAATACGACCCCCCAGGTGTGGCGTGCCACATCCCACGCTTGACCCTGAACATAACGCAGACTCAGCTTTCAGCACGGGATCGCGAACAGATAAGGGCTGCAAAGTCTTTATTTATAGCAAAACAGTTTGATAACTGAGAAGATCGAAAAGATTTAAGGATCAACACTTGGGGGTAACGCTGGTAACACAAGTAACCTGTAGCACTGGTAATGAATGGCCGAAGCTTAGCCTTAAGCTCCCAAAATCTTTTTCGCATGATTTCTCTATATTTCCAGATTTGCCCGGACGCTGCTTTGAAGAAAAAGAGATTCAGTAACTTCTGCTAAATGTTGCTTGAGACACCTCTGAAGCGTGCATAGCAATATGATGAACAAGATGCATAGTCCAGATTACATTAGAAAAACTTACGAGTTTATTTCCATTAACATTCATATCACCTTCTTTAGATTCTCTCCTCTCTTTTTCACCATCCGTCTTCCGCTGTCTCTGTGTATTCTGAGGATAGGCAAAACTCAGGAAGGAAGGAGTGGGAAGATGTGTCACTTTAGCTTCTTCCATAGCTCGCAAACTTCGCTGGATCGCTGTTTGCACATGTTCTATATCTTCTTTCTCCTTGGAACCACTTCCATTGCCGCCATTCATCATCGAGACATGAAAAGTAAAATACAAACTTGCCTGCTTATTTGACTGTGTGCTGCTTACTAATCATTTGTCAACAACCATACATCAACTCATCCAAACGCTAGACAACAAGTGAGATTCAGAATGCTTCTTGGCTCCATCTAGAGTTGCCTGTATGACCGTCCGCTCAAGCACAGGACGGCCACACGCCGCGATGCCGCACGCTTGAAGGGCATTCTGACATATGTCTACCAAACAGACCGAGAGCAGATCTGCGTTCTCCTCCCTCTCCCTCCCCTCTATCCATGGGCTGCGAAATTTTGAAAGTTGCTTAACACATTGACGACCGCTTGACACACATGGTGTGTCAAGGCTTGACACACCATGGCTCTCATTGAAATGGCTACCAAAATGAGTCAAATCAACTCCGGAAGTTTTCTTTCATGCTGGATTTAGATACAACCTCTACTGTTTTTGCCAGCATTCCAGCGCTACTGTAGGTGTACTGTAGATGGAATTGTGCGTGATTTTATTTGAAAAATGTTGGATGGTCCGAGAAAGGCTTCGGTCGTCAATGTAATTATTAGGTTGGTATATAATTCTTGGAGGCAGTGTCCGGGCAAAAACTGATCTTGAGATTTTGTGCTTACCCGGGCCTATTCGCTACGCTAAATCCGAAAATGCACATTGGAGAGCGTGCAAACGGCGAAAAACGGCTCTAACACATTAGGGAGATCAGCAGGGTGGGCGGGGTCCTTCCCACTGTGAATTCACGCTCCCAGCTTCCGGAGCGACCTTCTCGCTTCCGGTTTCAAGTCAGTTATTCGCAAATGGCCGCTGGCGATGTTAAACTGGCTAGCGGAATCGAGAAGACCACTCCGGAGCTGGGAGCGTGAATTCACAGTGGGGAGGACCCCGCCCACTCGCTGTTTCTGTTTCCCTCCTGCGCAGCCCTTTTGTGCCGTTTTCGCGCTCTCCAGTATGGATTTTCGGATTCAGCATGGTGAATAGGCCTGTATAAGCGCCAAATCTCAAAACCGAGTTTTTGCCTTTAAAGGCAGTGTCCGGGCAAATTTCAACTGAGGTTTTTTCGTTCATCTGTGGTAGTTCGAAGCGCCGACTCCTCCACTTCTGAGAGCGCGAGAAAGGCGAAAACCAGCTTTTCCCAAAGCCCCTCATTTTTTGGACGAGGGAACGGTTCCGCCATGGTTAGAGACGTAGAGTCGTTGTGGGACCCTCATGTCTATAGCATTGCGACATGCCGTCTCTGACAGTGTGAGGGATATCGCAAGACCGTCCGAGCGCGTGTAAGAATGGCTTGCGCGCACTGGCTCAGGGCAAATTTTCTAGACAGGGGCAGTATGCGGTGACTCGTACCTGCTCCGTTTTCATGTTTAGGGTGCACCTTCCATGAAAAATTTTGAGATGTTCGATTTTTCCGAGCCACTGCCCTTAAGCTGATAAGTGAGCAATGTAATGTAAGGGTTAGGCGAAGACAGTATGTCAGCCGATGAGTTATAAGACTCTCCAAAAGTGACTTGTTCTCGCTTGTGATTGATTAAAATTGTTAGAAAATTTCAAAAAATTGATTTGGCTTTTTGGACATTTTTTCACGTCGCGTCAGTATTTTGGAAAGCATGCGACAATTTTTCGGAAGGTGTTCGAACGTCTCTTTGCTTCTCAAAGTTAACTTGGGAAATGGTTTTGCTGGCTGGTCGCTATTGCTTGAGCTCGCAATCCATGAGAGCTGCATTGAGTATACGGCGAGTCTCCCCATCTAAAGTGACTATACCGGCTTGAATCAAAGCCAAATTTAGCCATAGCGAAAAATGTATCCTTCCAAAGTGAGTCAAGCTCTACAAAAATGACATAAGAATTATTTTTTCTAGGCATGAAACTATCATTTCTTTGATTAGGCAGCTCTTTGTGAAAATTTCGAGAAGCTAACTCAATTTCGAAGATGAAAGTTAAACTGTTTAGCTAATAAGAGTAATTTATAAATCCCAGTCATCTATAAACTTCAAAAATCTTGCAATTCCTTTCCAACCGGAGGAGACTCTGCTATTCGCTGCTATACACTATGTATGCGTCAACAATGATGGACCAAAATGATGTACCACGTTAACAAGGGCTCAATTTACCCTCACAATTAGACGAACTGATTGAATAACAGCTCAGTTAGGAAGGCGTGTACATGCGTAACGTCGCTTCGCTTTCGAGTATTACGACGTATCCTTTGATTCAACTGGCTTGGCGGCTGGAAGGCGAGGCTTCGTGACCTAATTAAGGCTAAGTAATGATCAGCAAGCACCCGCGTGAGAGAGAGACGCAGACTGCGTCGCAGGCGCGAGCGGCCCGTTAGACCACAAAGCTCCGCCTTCCAGCCGCCAAGCCAGTTAAATCAAAGGTTACCTACAACCTTTACTTTATATGTTTTGGTCGAACTGGAGACTACAGGTAATTGGAGAAAAAGCAAGATACAAGCCTCTAAGCATAACTGCATAACTCCCAGTAATTTTTTGAGAAATAAAGTTGTTCAGATAGCAAAATATATCTATAAATTTATTGAGAATAGGGTCAGACTTTTAAGCAACACAACAAAACATCAGATGGCCAATTAATCCGCAAATATCCATAACAGAATAAAGTTATGGGCTCAACTCTTGTTGGAGTTGAATAGACATTGAGGCTTCTACGTATGAGAAAGTGCAAGGTGAGCAATGCAAAATATCAATGATAAAAGGAATCAAAGTCAGAGGAAGTAGAACGAAGTACGATTAGATCGCAAACTCCATTCTGCATCATCTGGGACTTTTCAGCAACAAATCATTACGAATATACATACACATAAGCAAAACAATCAAGAGAGTATCTGATAGTACAAGCCAAAGACACAGAATCAGAAATGGTGCAAAAGTACCCGTAATGAAAGAAGAGACAGTGGAAAGTCGTCAAAACTAGTGACGAGACAAAAATGATACAACAGACGACCCGCAAAAATTGCACTAGAGGTGCACCAATTGGTAAGACGCTGAGAAAGCCACTGGGACGTAAAACATCTTCGATAAAAGGAGGTGCGAGGGATTAGTTATAGATCTAGGCAGTTGGGTATTGCTCAAACGAGGCGAGGAACTCGATTGCAGCCAGGTACAAAAAGTGATATTGCTCTTTGTCTTCGACCATGTTTTGCCGCTCAGTTCGCAGCAATTTCACCTGTAAAGAACTGAGTTGAAAAAAATTGTAGCTTTATTTGCTTTTTATGGCAACGCAGCAAGACAACTTTAAGATGTATTAAAGCCAGCGTCCCATGGTGCAAGTTCTACAAAATGGCATTTAAACTGGGAAAAGTTTGATTCGCATGAGTTGAAGCCAAAATTTGAAATATCTTGAGTGCCTAAAAATATTGGAGGATTGGGACCTTCATCCAAAAAAAAAACCCTATGGATCCCCCACTCACTCACGTGTAACTCCGTAAAAACATACACGTAGTAAAGAAGTTGCTGTATTATTCCCATTCAAGTGAAAAAAAAGAAAACTTTCGTTCTCTCTTTCTAGTCAAAGAAAAAATACACCAAACGTTTATATGAAGGTTTGATTGAAAAATATGGAAAGAGCAAGTACGAAGTCCGTTGTGATTTTTCTCAAACAAAAATTTTTAATTTTTCAAGCTTTCGAACGTGTTATATTTTGGCCTCAAACTTCAACGGAACGTACTTCATGCAAAAAGCTTGGAATCCATTTTGTAAAGAATGCTTTGCTCTATCGAAGGATAACTAACCCCAACACATTCTAAGAGTTTGTCTTGTTGCGTTTGGTTAAATAAAACTGAGCAATAACTATCGAGATTTGAACATACCGTAGTGAAAACATCGACGACGTGCTCCAATCGCATCCTATCGATGATGATTGCTAAAGCAACAAATACACCCGTACGACCAGCACCTGAGGAGCAATGCACTACGATGGGGCCATCGACGCCAAATTGCGTCTTCGTTCGATGCACCTAAATATCAAAAAATTAGAAACACTTGGAAAAAACTCCTCTCAAGTGCGCTCCTCACCTGCTGTATCAAATCTAAGAATGTCTCTGCCGTTTTGGGCGCACCTTGTTCTGGCCAATCTGTAAACTGGAAATGCCGAACCGTCCGAGACATTCCAGTCTACAATATTTGAGGTTAAGAACCATTAGTCGGGAATGATAAGACACCACTATAACTACGTCTGTACAACACCCACCTGCACATCATTGAGCCGGAATTCACGAAGAATATACTCCCGCATATTATATTCGGCAATCGGTTCAACGACTAATTGTCCGACTTGGGCTCCCGTCTCTTGTGGCCAATATTCACAGCATTTTTCCTACAAACATTATGATCACTCCTTGCACATCTACAAGCTCGCACTTACCCTTCCCATCTCCCAAGTTTTTGTCAACATGACAATAATGGCGCAATCGTGTTCCCAAACCATCCGCCAAAAATCTGCCACAGTTTGATCTGTTGGGGCTTGTGTGGCGATATAAGCGCATCTTTCTCTGCAAAAACGGTGTATAGCATGATGCGGACTGGTTAGCGGATTTGCAAGAACTGACCGGTATCCATCTACCCAGCTAGCATTTATGTAGTCACTTCCTTCGACACCAGGAATGGCCTGCATGATGACTCTATTGCTATCATAAGGAACTACGGCCGACGGTCGGTTTTTGTGCCGATTAGAAGAGAGGCTGGCGATGGAACAACGCGAGTTTGCCCATTTCAGTGTAGACAAATGCTAAAACATGTTACTGGTCTGAGATTGTTGGCTCAGTAACTGTGTGAGGAGCGAAGCTGATTATTGGTGCCCTCAAGTGCTGACAACATTTGCGTGTGAACAATGGGCCATAGCTGTAATACACGAAAATATGCGCACCATGACGATTTAACATGCGGCAAACTATCGACTTCAAATGAACAGCCATTTTTAGTGCGCGGAAATGTTGTTGGCACCGCAGCGACACTATTACGAGCTGTCAAACCTCTTAGCCTCTCATGAGGAATTTGACAAAAATCTTATAATTCTACTTTCCTGATAACATTAGCCTGTAAATAACCGCCTCTGGCTGTGATACTTGCAAAAGTGCGCACTGCGGTCACCTCATACGCGCAAACTGTAGGCATCAACAGGGTAATTTGCTCACGCCGAAATGTTGTCGGCACCGCAAGGACACTCTATATCAGCTGTCAAATCCTTAGCCTCTTATCCGCGCAAGATCTCACAAAAACCCTTTGAATTGCGATTTCCTTACCCTAAATTCCAACTCCATTCCGGCCGCTCCCTCCATCGGTGCCATTTGTTGCAGTGCCATTACGTGTTGCCTTAATTTTACGGCAGGCACCTCGGTCGAGCCGCTGTTGACAGCGTCGAGCACGGCGTCGTGAATGAATATATATTGATCCTCAGTCTAAAAGCAAAAACATCTTGCGTGTGAGTTCTCATGTCCCCTATCAGCTATGCGATACCTGAACCATATAGGAGCGCTGACTTCGGAGCGATGTCACGCAACCAAAAATGTCGACCGTGTTCTCGTAGCGGAGCCTTTCAAGCATGCAATCCACCACTATGAATGCACCCGTTCTGCCAATACCCGCACTGAAAAAAGTACTTAATGCTGATGAACCAAAAACTAAAAAGTATGAAAACCCACCTGCAATGTGAGATGATCGGACCGGCATCGGGAGGATTCAAAGTCTTCACCCTCTTCAAGAAGATCAGGAAAGGAGTGGGATGATCGGGTACACCATGATCTGGCCAGGCCGTATACTAAAAATAGTAGTCTGCACCACACCGAATTGACGAAACGAAATGGCGATAACGGATTTTTAGATTTTTGCATTTCTGCTTATATAGCATTTTTTGCTTAGAAATCCAGACAAGGGGATGATGACATACTTTTCCTCTTCATATGACAAGGTATAACGCTCTCCATTCGAAAGTACAAAGATCATTAGATCAACCATATAGTCGCTATGGCGGCTCTCTTCTTACCCATTTTTGTTATCAGAAAGAACAGCGTCTATCACTTTCATTCTCGATATTTATTGTGGAAATCACACCCAAATTTTCAATTAAAAATGTGGAAATAGAAAAAAATTAATGCATATTTTTTATGAGCACTTGCATTGTCCACCGAAAGTTTGTTGATGTTGTTAGGCAAAGTATAAGTTTCAAGAAAGGTGCTTTAACCAATAATCTTGTCTTCCTATTTCCTATCAATGTTATTGTCCTCGTCATTTCCTGACATCTTTACCGAATATGTCAGGAACAACATAAAAAAGAACAAATCTTATCGTCACATGGCTGACAACTCTGCTCAGCTTAATGCAACGTCCACAAAAAATCACTCAAGACTCTCGTGAAGCTCGCATTCGAATCAACTTGGGGAGGAAAAAATCACTGAAAAAGCTTACCTGCAAATGTCGGATCTCTCGCATCTCCATTTCTCCAACTACTTGAATGCGGAACGCTCTCATGGTATAGTGAGCAAGAACGGTTGTGTCCATCAGCGTTACCTGCACAGAAAATGCATGATTTACATTCTTTTATCTGTCCTATGCGAAAGTGTTAGGGAGTTTTCAAACAAAGCCATCGCTCAAGCGGCACCTCATATGATTCGTTAGTGGTCGAGAACTTCAACTCTGAATCCCAGCTCAAACAGTATTCCTTATCCTACAGTACTCGAGGACTGTGATTGGTCCGTTTCAAGAGTACGGTCCGGGATGGAGTTTGTTCAAAGTTGAATCTCTCAGCCACAAATGAATTTTATGAACTGCCGGGTGAAGCAACGGCTTAGCTAAATTCTCCCATTAATCCGTATCCATCAAAAAGTCCAGATACTCAGATTTGTCTTGCCATTTTTAGAATTGAATGATTGGGTGAGAGACTGACCTCAATCTCTCCATAAGTGGAGCTTCCTCTCGATGGCCAGTACTGATCACACTTCACCCGAGACCGCTCTTCCAGGTTAGTCAGCATAACTATTGTGGAGGATCCTTCTTCCCAAACCATTCGCCAGAAGTCACCGAACGTTTCTGGCAACGGACCTTGCGTCGCGATATAGGCCTTAGGCTGAAAAGCATGCCTTCTTAGCTCTAATGTCAGGGACCACATTCTTTTGCTTACTTTATCATATCCATCGATGTAATTTGCGTTTATGTAGTCAGTCCCGGGTATGCCATCTAATGAGGAGAGTACCACACGCGAGTGGTCATACGCAACCACATTAGCGTAGCGATTTTTATGCTTATTCATTTCAGCACTGCTATTCTCCCACGTGAACTGTTGGCCGGTCTCGATGGATTCAAATTCCTGGAAATCAAGTTTATTCGATGAATTAATCCACAAGGGTAGACTTTACCTGTTGGAATCCTGCGTTGTTGTTCATGCGTAATCTTTCGATGTGTTGCGCAAGCTCAGAGATGGGTACCGCAGGATGCGTGACGAGATGAGTTCCTGTAAGATTAGAATCAGAAATTTCGGTCGCTTTTGCGGCTCTTAGATGCGTTTAGTATCTATAAAAAGCGCATGTTAATAAAAATGAAATACTCATCAAATAAAATTTTCTTTGAACAGTCGAAAAGAAGTGACTCCAATTCTCTCTTGTGCACGAATGTATGAAAATTTTTTTCAATCACAAAATTTCAAACGGCAGATCGCAATTTTACTGCAAAAGTTGGGTGTACTCAAATATCAAATCACTCATATCTACATCCAACACAGCATGAAAACGAAGCTTAGAAAATCAAAGAGCTGAGCTGTGGAAATTTGGCTAAATTGGGGCATTGCCCTCCGCTAATAGTAGAAAAATTTGACAATCTTGCAATTAGAAAGGATGCCAGAAAGCTTTTTTGTACGAAGTGCAAATAAGCCCATGTACGTCTGTTTGGAAAACTATGTCCATGACCTGACTTGATATAATAGAAAACCCTGATAATCCTTCAAAACTCATCCAAAAATTGCAAGATCATAAAAGAATAGAATTGCTAGACTTGCAATATTCCAATTTTTTCGCACTTACAAAGAAAATGTTTTGAGTCGAAGTGGCCTTTCCACATGAACACTCATACTCACTCTGTTATTTAAGAGCTAGAAAAACCATAACAAATAATTTTGAAAATCTGCTTCATTTTTCGCTCCAAAAGCAATCATAACTCAAAGGAGTTGGCTAATAGGGGCAGCATCAATGCTCTTCAGGATGTTAACTCAAATGGGAAGAAAATCTCGTTAAATACACTCCCTCGTCAGAAAAACCATATTCTTCAGCAGTGCGACCCAACTCTTAGCAACTTGTCACATTCCATTTCTATCAATTGTTGTAAGCAAAATTCTTACCGAGCATGGTTCCACCTGACGGAAGACATGGCATGGCAACTGGCACCGGAGCATAATTTGTAGTACCAGCACGAGACTGACTTCGTGGCAACGGGTAAAGATCTACTGATGATTCCATGTGTCCATTACCATGTCCATTCATCTTGAAGAGAGTTACATTACGGTTAAATAGGGGGTAAGATTGAAGTAGGTAAAGTTTACCTGCTCATAAGGATTCATCACACTTCGACCATAGGTATCAGTTGAAAGCAATTTGCTTGTCTCGCCGGGAATGCCATTCATGATATTTCCAGTAAGAGCAACTTTTGTGATGGATCCATGGCGATGTCCTCTACCAGCAGACTTTTTATTGCATCGTAACCACCTATATGTGTAAATTAACGGCAGGATCCCCAAACTCGAAGTGGACCGAAACGTACCAGCACACCAACATTCCGATGAGAATTGCAATGATAAGCAATGCAATAAGCGGGCCAATCAACCAGAAACCGCCCGGCTTAGCACCAGCTCTGAGGGCAGCCCGAGTGGTGAACGGTTCTGTCAGAGCCGAGTCGGAGTATAACCGAGTGAGCTTCTCACCCATCGGAGCTCGCTTATCGAACTAAACGTCTCATATTTCAAACTTCCACACGACCCCAAGAGGCGCATAAGAAAAAACTGCTTACCTCATCCTTCCGTCTTCCATCAGCCTTAGCAAACGAGCGCATCATGAGACGATATTTCGTATTCGGTTCTAGCGGGAAGTTGTTGAAACCATTATAGATCTGAAATCAACTTCTAAGTTGCGTATTGCCTAAGTTATGTAGAAAGAAAGCATAGAGGGTCTACGATGAATGCGGGAAACAGCTACGAAGGCAATATCCTCAACGCTTCGCAGTCGGGTCGAAGCAATTAGTCGGAGGCAAAGGATTTAGGAAAAACAAATCTGATATGGCTCGACGATGTTGTCGCGCGGATGCGAATGATCGCAATAAGGCGCTAGTCAGAAAAGAGAATGTTTCTGACAAAGTTATGGGTTCTTTTGCTAAAACAAAGCAAAAGAAGAATTTCAAAAAAGAAACTAGCGCTGGTTAAATGGGAGAGTCATAAAATGAGAATTTTGGGTAAAACAACCGAGAAAAGAGCGGCCACTTGCATTATAGATTTGAAACAAACTCAAGACGAATACTTCTACCCAGATTTATTGAGCTGAGTACAATAAGAGTTCAAAAGCAAGGTCACTCGCCGCGAACGCCTCAGAACAAAAGTTGATTTAGAGGTATTAGCAGGTGACATGTTTGTATTTCGGCTCACTTGGACAGTTTGCGTATGCTCAACTTCTCAACAATTTTTTTGAGCTTGAATGACTTGTGAACAAAATTATGCAGGACAGATAGTCTTTTGAAAGATTTTTTAATTTTGTGGAACAATTTGAATATTCTAAAAGACTGCGTTATATCTGGATCTGATGAAGTACCTCACGCAGATGAGTCCTGCATCTGCCTAAAGATAGTTCCCCAACTTGGATTTTCAACTCGAAACAATATGCCTTCCATAAAACTAAGAGAACAGGGCATGCTATAGCATTTGACAGAATCAAAAAGCTCTCGCAAATAATCTCTAATTACTACACGATGCACAACTTTAGTGGACAGAATTTCTCAAGACGCTGTAAAGTGCGACAGAGATTCGATATCAAATCGTACAAAAATGGGGATTTAAAAATTTTATGAGCCAGTTCGGGCTTCTGTGATGTACAAGCTGCCCCATGTTCATTCTTCGGAGACTGCATTCTTTCTGAATTTAGAAATCTAGTTCAAAGAATTAGACTTATTCACACGATTTTGGGGCAGATTGCAGCGTCCGATTTCGAGCAAACTTATGGGTTTGTTGCCCTCAAGCGACACATTTCTGCCCACTTGTTTCGAATTTTCATTGATAAAAAACAAGCGTAATCAATCATCTGCCTTCTTGAAAGGAATTTTTTTAAATGCTGTGGATGGATGATCAATCAAAAGACGAGGAAAAACTCATTTTTTGTATGATGACAAAGAAAACACTGCAAAGTGCAGCTTTTGCATTCTTGTTACATAACAACTGGAACTTCTGTTTTCTCTTTTTCTAGAGTCATGGAAAATAGGATGTAATTATTGCTTGAAGCAACAACCCCTACCATAAGACATACAAGAGTTTCAACCATAAATTATGGGGAAGGGAAGGTAGAAAAAACGGAACAGGCATGCGACTCAATGTTTACATAGCCTCACAAACCTTGTCATCACCAACAGCAAACGGTCGGTCAGCCGAGTACATTTTCCTCATTTCATCGGCCTCAATCCGAGCGGCTATGTAGGCCGAAGAGCCCAAGTCGGTGCTACGACGCATTCTAATATGATGATGAGGGGTTTGTTGAGTATAGAATGGCCTATCCTCTTGCATACTGAGCGACTTTTTCACCTAAAAATGTGATGTCATCGTGGATTTCGTAGAAATCGTCGGAAATCTGAAAAAAGGGCTGATACCTTCTTGGTCGGCGAAACGGTCAAATGTTTTCCCAATGCTCTTCTTCTCGCTATTGTCATCGCTTCCAACTCGGCAGTACCCAGATTAACGACATCGTCCTAAATATTAACAATCATTTGCAATGGCAAGATTACTACCAACTATTAGCAGACAGAGCTGGGGAGGGGAGGATATTCTACGAATGACTTCCTTTTATTCATAAATGATAGAAAATTTTTAGATGTCATAAAACTGAAAATAACTTTAGAAGGACTTTCATGAGGTCATGAGATAGCAAAAATCTTGTCGCCAAAGATCTCTTCGAAAGCATGCTAACGCGACAACTTTGACCGAGAAAAATTCCGTCTTCACTCAAAAAAAATCTAAGACCGTTACTGGTAACAAAAAAGGGAAGTTTCTCAGAAAACAAACATACTTTCGAATAATTGCCAGGCACGACAATTAACCAGTAATGAGATATGGGTCCGTATTCTTCAGAGGCTGGTCGCAACCGAACCATGATTTGACCGGGTCTAGCCAGACCACTGCCAATCACTTCATCCAGTTCAGGTGGAAAGACAAAAGGAGGTCCAGTTGGATCCGTTACAATCACGACCTGAAGTTTTTGTATGAGACACGAAGATAACTACAATTAACATAAACAACTCAGACTAATTGCATTTCACGAACACACCTCTTTTGGCCAATATTGTCGTGCTCCCGGGGGCAGTGATCGTACTCCGACGTGGAAGGTGTATTGCATGTACGGTCGAAGGTTAGTCCATCTGCAAATAATTTGCTCAAGAAAACTATTTTGACGCATCAATATCCTCCTTACAGATACTCCCGGCTGCCCTCATCCAGTTCATGTTTGAATCCTGGTGTAGTCATACTTTTCATAGCCAAAGTGTGGTCGAAATACTCTTTCTTGCCAGTGTGGTTCAGATAGAAGCCAACATGTGTAGGACCATTGTAATCCCATCTTAGAAAAAATTTTCTATTCTAAACAAAAACGAATTTTCCAACAACTTACTTCAACTTGACAGAGTTGCTGGTTTTCCATTCAACCACGAGATTTTGCACCATATACGTAGGAGTTAATCGTTCAAGCAATGTCGGCGGGTCTGAGCACGCACCTTGCCTCTAAAATAGATTGCGTGTCAGGTAAATTTGGCGACGTGGGTTATGGAGCTAGAACAACATTTTCTGTAGAAGTAAACATAGGATATCATAGATGCTTATTGTTAATTAGAACGAAAGTAGCTTTCATCTCGTTTGATGCTGAACTCAGCTGAATTCTTGAATTCACAGGAAGAGAATTTTATCTGCATATATGCTTATTCGCAAACTTGCAATACACGTCACCTTGAATATTTTGAAATGTAATATCCATTATGCGCATCTTTTCGCCAGCTTTCTGATCAGAAAGCATTCCTCATTCATATGAAAGGTCTTTGCTTCAAAAGTCTGTTTCTTCAAGAAATTTATAATAAACAGATGATGACAAACACATGATCGAAGTCATGAAATGAAGAGAGATAAAACAACTAGTGTTTTTTTCGCTGCTACAATTTACGCAACTCTTGCACTTTTTGTAATGTGTAAGAGTGACTTGAACGACACGTTTTTGTTTACTTCAGTGTCATAACGTAAACTATGAAAATCTGCTCATTCAGTTGCTGTAGTTCACAGTTAAGAAAGAAGAAAGGTGTCAGTAATCAACACTATGCGCTTCACATTTGAGTTTTGAGAAAAACTTTTCCTTTGAAGATGGAAAACTCTCGATTTCAGTCAGAGAAACAACGTCTTCATAGTGTGAAGTTGCCATAAAGTAAGTTCAAAGTCAAGCTTACGTTATTTTTTATGGCCAATACGCAGAAAGCATATGGTTTGTGCGCTGTCAGATGTGGTACTTCAAGATGACGAGAATTCGGGCTCATCACCGTACGAGCGGTCCATCGCTCCGTATCGGAGCGTCCTCCAGGTTCGTGCATATACTTCACAACAAATCCATCGACCTGGAAGTATTCCATGACTCCCTATTTGAACATTCTGCACGTAGCTTTGCCTCTTTTATCGTAATTTGATACCAAATGCATATGCCAAGCATTAAAATTGCGTGACCCACCTGTCCATTTTCGAAGTCCCATTGCACAACGGCCGAACTGTTGGATGTGGCTTCGACGCGGATGTTCGTTGGAGGCCCGACTAGAGCTGAAACAAAAAACATAAACTGCGCAAGACCAACTTCTCTGCATGTTTTGCTGTCATGAGTAGTCAAAAGCTATTGCCTGGTGTCAGTAGGGAATTGATGACGGCCGAAAGAATCCCGCTTTGCTGGGATATTGCTGCTTCGTGCCGATTAGTGTACAAATAAGCTCCACTACTCTTCTTTTTCTTAATGAGACTAGCCGCTGAGGTGTTTTCCGTGCCAAGCATAAGGGCATTCTCAGTACTTTCTGCCAACATGCTTCGATCGTTCTCTTCGTCAATGACCACATTATTCCGCATAAAATCAGAGCGAGAAAATGGCAGCTGATGCCGCGAGCGAACTCGCTTCTGTTGAGTCGCATGTCTCATAATTGAGTAAAGATTAATTGGCAGTAGAAGTAGTCCAGCATCATTTGCAAGTGATAGTTCTATGAGACTTAGCAGCAGCTGCGTGAAGAACCAGGCTGAGGACATGCTCGAGCCAGTGATGCTCATCGCAGCATTAGGAGATCAGACACATAAATTTTCGATGCAGCACTGGGGGGACGTATACCAATAAACGAAGCAAAGCGTGTGTCTCAATAGCATGGATAATAGCTCGAGAACGGAAATCGCGTAAAGGTACGCGCTCACAAACCCGCATACCTGCAACGAATGTTCGTCTTACCATCCTAGCAAGATTGCTGTTTGCCTCAGAGGCTAGAGAAGAGGGTTTAGCGTTACTTATGGGGTTGAAGTATGATTTTAGCATTTTAGAAAACCTTCAAAAGTCTATACTGAAAAGATCAAAAAGGTTCTTTCCCAGCTGCTTCAACTATACAAAATGCGCAGTAACATCCAAGTGGCAATCCTTTTTCCTTGAATTCTCAACTTGACAAAGGATAAATAGTTACTGAAACTGTCGAGAAGCCCCAAAGCGGAAAATCAAGTTTTGCATGTGAAAAGATGCAGAAACGCATAGTGCAAGTGTGATACTTACGTAACATACTTGAAATTTTCGATAGAAACCAAGCAGTAGAAGAGAAGGGTAAGGTGACGTCAATAATCATTGGCCGATGAGTAGTGGAAGTCGATGGAAGCATGTTGTGTATATTGCTATGTAAGGATATGCCCCTCATAATAGGGATGTCTAGAGGGCCAGGAGCATGGTTCATAATCGCATCAAACACATCTGCACTAGAGATGTCGTGCTCGGAAGTGGGCATGTTGAGTACGATGTCGTCCGAAACAACACCGGCTTCTTGGTGGCTGCTAGTGGAGTCCGCTGAAGCGAAAGACTTATCTAAATTGGAATTTACGAGCGACTAATGAGATGGGATAAACACACACACGCAGGCCGATAGCCGGCTGGTGAGTGGTCTAGTGCGTAGGAGCCAATGAACGTGCCTGGCATTGCGATTTCCGCTGCCTCCAAGCGGTTGCTTCTCAGCTTGTGGATGCGCTGTTTTTGCTGCTGCTTCTGCTTGGCAATTGCATGTGGACGTGCTCTGGTTTGACGTCGAGCTCGGCTAGTGATTTGCGGAATTGCAATAATCTCGCTCATCATGAATATCCGGAATAAGCCCACACAGGCCGCTTGGGCTGGGGCTGACGACGACGGTGGCAGATAGCAGTGACACAGCGCGGACACAAAGACTAAGGGATTCGTTTCATTGAGCGAGAGTGTGCATTAAAAACACAAGAAGGCGGCAGTGGCGACGAATTAGATGGGAAGCCTGCAATCTCAAGCAATGGACTCTCAAAATTAATTCAATTCACTAATGTACCACGAGGACACACTCTCACGCCGACACCGCCAGTAGCACCGCCGAAACACTGCCCGACGAGCAGTGATCATTCCTCGCTTTCGGGCGACGGACACACCAGCGCGCCAGCAGTCAACACAAAAACATGTGGACGGCTGCACGGAGAGAAGATGTCGAGCCTTTCCGGTAAGGAAAAACCCTTACATCAAGTAAAACTAATTCTCTATATGGGCCTTGGACAGCACAGATAACTTGCTTTACCGGAGGGGAAGCAAGTTTGAGCTCTGTAGACACTGCCATGGAATTCCTGGGTGTGGTAAAGCCGCTACGATAGATCTTGCTTCTTGTGTTTTTTTTCTCACTAACCAACTCGGTTCAAGGAGAATTATACCAGTGTAAATCTCCTCTACGATGATAAGTAGAATAGACATCTGCACTTTGCACATGCGCCGCATTTGTCGCACTTGTGGAGTTTTCTTCTTTCTAATACTCTCGAAAAAAAAGCCGTTTCCTCGCTTCACAGCGCCGCCAAGCAGTTGTGGAAAGTTTCGAGTACCGCACCGACGTATAAAAACAATAAGAAACTTGCTTTGAGCAATTCCGATATAGGCAGCGGTGTTATACCAGGTCCTATGATTCTAGCGCATGCTCCTTGGAGTCAAAGCATTTCGACTTTTTACCACTCTTTTTACGACTTCATAGAACACATGCTCCTGGATTCTCACATTCAAGATATGGTGGCGCTGGCAATGTTATTGGGCAATTCGTGAGGAGAGGGGGAGAAAAGATACATAATAATTTTTGTGGCTACCGCTCTCCCCTCATTTCAAGAAGAAATCTGCGAAGCAAATGGATTGTTGCTAGACTGAAGAAGTAAGGAGAAGTGAACAAAAAATTGTTCACTTCTCCCTCTTCTTTGCTCAACACAAAACCCTTTCAAAAATTCTACATCCGAGAATATAATGGGAAGAAAAGAAGAAAAGGGGAAAGACACAGTGATGAAATTTAACTTCAAATGGACCACTAATTCCATGTCGTTCAATAATTAAAAGGATTTAATGCCGAACATTTTGTAACTTGATATGTGCGTAGCAGAACTCGCATGGTATATCGCGACATGTGCCCTCGAAATTCGCGGTTTCCAGAAATTTCTCTTTCTATATGCCCTATTGTCTTGCAGTGGAATGACAAAAACAATGTCATTATTTCTTTTGTTTATTCTACTTTTTCAAAATATTGAGAACAGCTGTAAAATCGTTTCATAAAAAGCTGCTCAACGGGATGACTTTTTGATGGCTATTTACCAGCCAATAGTCGTGAGGTGCCGCGCGTCGCGTGCAATCTCAGACTTAACCTTACATTTGTTTCCACTATTCACTTGGCTGCTTTTCTAAAAAGTTCTCACCTGTCATAAAACTGCATATTTTATTGGTGACATTGTCGAATCTCGACCATGCTTGTTTCACACCATCCGTATTCGATACATGATATTTCCATCCCGATGCTATGTAATTTAGCAATCCTTCGAGATTGTTAATAATGCCGTCTTTACAGATCAATGGTGAAATGTGTCCATCTAGAGGGTCTTTAGTGGTGGTGCTGAGCGCTGCTTTCTCCTCAGCGTCATCCATAATGACTTCGCCGGAGATTGGATCCATTATGTCATAGATAATATATAGCAGTATTTAGCCACATCGTTACAGCTCTCTCGTTCTTTGTGACACAGAGATATCTAGAGAAAAAAATGACAGAAACGAGCTATGCCAATAATTTTTCAAACGTCAACAGCACTGACTGAACGAAAGAGGAATGAGGAGTTAATGGTGCGACGACGTGTATTCATATAAGAATAGCCTATTCATGGTATAATGATGGAATCTAGCTAATCGCAGCAAATTCCGCCAGCACCTAGTCGCCATACCAACAAACTATCAAAGCATATCAACACCTCTTAAGAGTCGATTGCGGACAAGGCAACTATGTAACAGAATATCTTTTTGACTTTATGAAAAGAACATTGTTTAGCACTATGAATGGCAAACTCATGGGCAAAAAGAAATTTCGTAATGCTTCTTTCTGGGTAGGTAATGATACAAATCTTTTGGAAGAATTCAGTGCAAAAAAGGAATATTCATTAAAAGCCCAAAAGTGACAAGTGAAAAAATGTGTGGCGACGTAGCCGCACTCGAAGCTGTCTTGAACTCAATTTTATTTGACAAATTACCTTACTGACTTAGCTCACGCGATAGGGAAGTGCAGTTTGAGGAAATATCTGTCATAAATGATTCTAGGGGCATTAGTGATGGCCAAAGTAGTTATGGGAATTAATTAAGCAAGATTCCGAGAGAGCCTGGCCTGAACTCGAACAAAAAGCAATGTTGGAAGAGCTGAAAAACCTCATCATAGCGCACTTAGCACATTACTTTGCGGTCCAATCGATAACTCGCTGTTAGAGTTAATGGTAGTTATCGGCCAATGTCATTTGCCGTAAAACATGGCTTGATCATGGGGCTGAGACTTATTTCTCTAAGCTTTCATAAAATTGTTACGCGTGTATTAGTTGCACTTCCTCGTACTCTCGCTCAAGTATTTCGCAAACAAGGTAACAAATAGCGCACATTTGTCGGCATTCTAAACACATATAATGGACTAAATTTCGAAACATGAGTAGGTGAACCTTTACGACAAAAACTGCAACGAAAATCTACCAAATTGTAGTCAAGCACATGAACAAGCAATATCTTCTGCTGGAATTGACTTCGGGCAACATCGGAATCGATGCTCTTCATCACTCGTAGTCAAAACCAGCAAATAGCAAACATAAGGCTGGATCAGGTTTCCAATTTGAGATCTCCTTTCAATTTGTGATGCGCACCTACACTGGGGTATATGACCGTTGCAACGAAGAATTTGGCTCATCTTTGGAAATGAGGAAGTCGGAAGTAAGGGGGAAGTAGCAAGTTGCATTGGCAAATCGTGAAATGTTGTATGTCACCGAACGCGCCTTCGAAGTCTGATTCTAAATTCTCTTTTTTGCAGAATAACTTTTTGAAAAAGTTATAAGCTCTCTAATGTCCAAATTTCAAACCTCAAGTGGCATGAGCCAGCGAAAAATTGTACAAAAACACCTATGCGGACTTCCATTAGCTTTCCTTTCAGTCGATATAATCAATACACTGATTTTCAGACGTTTTTATGCAGAATTTCGCTGATTTTGTGCAGCTTAAGGATTGACAGATTTAACTTTTAAGCGCTCATAAGTTCTTTGAGATTGTCATTTGGTAGAAAAGGAAAGCAGATTCGGAATCACCTTTGAACGCTCAAAACGCTCCTGGCGTTATAAAGCCTTTTGATTTACCACTGCAACTTGGTATTTCTTCTTTGTTAGTAAAGCACTTTTAGTCAAAGCGGCCATTTGGGAGAATAGGAAAAATGAAGCATGAACGAAATCACGTTAAGTTATTAAAAGTTAAGTTATGAAATTAATTTGCCTCCTGTATGCGAAATGCTTTTCTAAAGAAGTGATGATTTCTTTGATCTGGGACCAATATTTTAAACGCACCTCTGAAGTAAAATCGATTACTACGGGTTCCCTCTAAAAGAATGTATGCTATAGCTTGATACGCAAAAATTTCCATCGTCGAACAAAGCCATACACACTGTGAGCCAAAAAAGGGTGTAATAGTCACTTTTATGCTAACCGTAGGTTCGATTCGCTTGGGCTCATTACTCAAAATCTCTTCCGCAGATATAAAGGATAGACTTGTAATAAGCTATTATGCCGCATCTGTTCCGTATAGATTTCACCTCATAGGGCCGATTGGACTATAAGTGCATCTTCTATAAGGTATCCTGATACCACAGTCAATTATCAAAGGTGAAACATTACACATGACTAGAAAATGCAAAAATTGGCGAAGCAGATGTAGCGCGATAGCGATAGCAGTCAAGGGATGAATAGGGACACGGTAGAATGTGATAAGCTTAAGCCTCCGTGTTATCTCAAGCGAGAGGAAGCCGCATGAGAGGCAGGTGAAGCGTCATATTAATAACACAAATCAATCCCACTCTTGAAGAATTAACTGCTTCGGCTCTGATGAATTGCGCAGCTCTAGGGAGACACTAAAGCCGACACAGAAGTAGCGATTCTGTCACTGAAGTCGCCACGCTAAGAAGAGGAGGAAATTCGAAAAACATTTTCGAGTGAAGTTAAGTGCCATCAAGAAAACATTGGCGATGTGCCCTGCTGTCACTGCGCTGTTTAATCAACTAATGTGTTTCGCTTCGTCTACGACGCGTGGCTTCAGAAGCCAAATAAACCGCAGCTTACAATCGTTAAGCTGCAAAAGCAGAATAAATTGCTGAGGATGAACTAGAGCCGGGCAAAAGCGCCCTCACTGAGCAGGACTACATAATCTAATGCATATTAAACGACACATAAACAAACACTGCGAGCATCTCTCGCTGATGATGTGACGGAGCGCTGATTAGCATTAAGCATCATTGCCCTCTACCACTGGGAAAAGGCCGCGCCGAGCTTCGGTTGACGCATCCGCAGATGCACATTAGTAGATTTAAGTGCCTAGTCGAACCGAAAGCATAGGCTAATACCACTGAAGGCGTTGCTCTGACGCGCATGTCAATCAATGTTCAAGTTTCTTGAAGAATACGAGGAAGTCAGTTATTTTCATAAAAACTACGCTCTTACGAATGAGGTAAGTGCAGAGGTGAGTGCAACGCTGCTCGTGTCTGGAAGCGATTTTGCACACTTGTGATATACTCCCTCGATGTAAAGTTTGGGGATGGATTTCCATGACGTTTAGTGAAAAATGTGCTGCCATGGCTCACAACGTATAACGATTTATGAAGAAAAGTTGATTATGCTCTTTCTCAAGCACGACAACTGGTAACTTAATTTCGCGGTATATTACGTACGAGTACAATGAGGTATGGATAGATACAGCTTCTTGAAATCATTTTGTATCCTTCAGAAGTACTCCTTCATTTTCTCAAAACAGAAAATGCTCGCTAAAATTTACGCTCGAATCACTTTGCCTCAAAATGAACTTCATCGTCAATGCTGACCAAAAAAATGGGCAGAATACCTTCACAATAGAGTAGTCCTAAATTTCACAAGGAGAAAAAGTTGATTTGTTTCAGTGCCCGATAAAAATAACATGCTCTAAAAATCCAAGCGTAGGATTATTTGCTTTTAACAAAAAAGTACGTACATGAAAAAAGTGCTCAATTTGCTTTGTCAAAGTCATGCAAGCATAGAAACATGAGACAAGTGGCTGCACGGAGATCTAGTAATAGCAAAGCAACGAAGGGCAATAAAATATAGGCGGCCCGTTTGCACTCGACGCACTCGGAATTGAATGCCATAATGGAGAGTGAACAGTCAGACACCACCACCACCGGCGAAAAATCATTTTTAGAAAAGTTGGAAAAGACGTGGGTGGCGGTGTTGAGAAAGCTACACGTACTTGCGCAGCGATGGAACTGCTGTATGGCGTGAGCAACACAATGTATCGAGCTGATTAAAAGCGTGCATGCATACTTCCTGTGCTCTCAAGCATATAATATTCATATGTCGACGTCCACAATTGCGAACTTTCACTTTTCACTCGAAGAAATGAGCTCTCGAATGTGCTAGGCTAAGGCACCATAAAAACAAGCAACTAATCAGAAAACTTCAGCGCACACAAGGCTGTCGAGCAAGTTTGCTGGCGCGGTGACAGGATATGAAACAGCATAAGTGTGCAGCCCGCGAAACAATGCAAGTCAACATCCACTGCTTGAAGGCCAGTGCCCCAAGCAATTTTGGGTACCTAGAGAACTTCTTATATGGTAGCGATTGGGAGTCCCTAGCTAAGCTATTGCCCAAGCGGCAGCCTACATGATTCATTTATGGTTGAGAAATCAGACTGTTGATTCCACCCCAAGCCGTACTCTTGTCTGCACCAATCCTCCCACGAGTACGGTTTGGGCTGGGCTTTGAAAATGCATTTCTTGCCTTTGATTGAATCATTTGAGCTGCTAATTGGGAATAGCTTGGTTGGAGCCCCCCGATCAGTTCCTGCACAGAAAACCCAGGTAACCAGATTCGTTGGACATTACCTACAAGCCATTATAATACTATCAAGAACACTAAGAACACACATACCCAAGCACAACACTGACTGAGAAGTGCACACTGAGACATGCTCTAGTATTGTCAAATGACAAATTACAGGTTCCTTGAATTGATGATAGGTCGGAAGCGCTAAGTGCTCTCAGACTGATGTAAGTACAGCGAAAACAAATGACTGCATGCACGATTAGACAGTTTTGGGCTCAAGTAGTCGGAGAATTCATCAACCTATGCTCTGGATAGCAGCTGTCAAAGCAAGTACGACTTTCCTTTGAGTTCGCTGTCTCAAAAAGGAGCACCTACTACTGATTAGAAAACTTCAAGTATAAGGGGCTCAATAACGACTTTAGCTGGATTTTTTCTTCGCCATAGCAAAATGTGGAGATTGCGGAGTTAGAGGTGGAGCAAATAAAGCCAAAATAGCGGAAATAATTGCGGGCATGTTATTTCAAAAAGCAACACCACAAATAACTCGTGTACAACATTCGCAAAGCATGACCGGCTTGCGAGATAGGCTTTTATTCGAACTTCTTCCAAGTAGTGCTAAACTATGTTTAGTGAAAACATCGTAGAGTTATTATCCTCCCGTAAACTTAGGTGCGCTTGTAAAATTGTTGCACGTTGAATAGAGCAAAGAGTTTGCTTAGGCTAATAACGAACCTTCGAGCGATGCTCGCAAAGGCAATTGATAAAAGTCGCCAATGTCAAATTAAAACGACAGAAAAAGCGTGAGAGAAGGCTTAAATCCTATTTCGCTTCTAACTCTTAGCAGGCGAAACTGCTTCGATATTCAAGCGACGCCCCCGGTAGCAAAGCAGGTGAAAAGTCGAGCAAAGCTAATTCGATTAACATGCGACTTTCCACGCATTTTTTCTGACACTGCCAGGATCTAGCTCAACTGCTATGACAGCAAAGTAGAAACCTGAAAATGATAGTAAAATCAAACCAGTCGGGTCCGGATTGATGGTGAGTACTGGCGAGTAGGGTCCCAATCCTTTCATCGTTGCCGCAGCCACTTTGAAGGTGTACGCTTTACGAACGTCGACGGCAAATGTCGCCGAATTCGAACCGTCTGTCACCTAAAACAAATCATTATATCAAATACATCTGTATCTCTTTAGTCAGAAGAAAGACGACGGCGGAAATTTTGAAATCGTACTGTTTCCGACTGAATCACGCCCTGTACGAATTAAGATTTTTTCCTGAGGCAAGATTACCAATTCAGCGCTTTTGTCGATCGCTGTTTCATCGTCATAAATGAGCGCCCGATCGGGTGATGGAGCTGCCTTATAATGGTGAAACAACGCCCAATCGAGAGATTTGTATTGAGACCCCTATACATCTGCGTCATACTGAGATTTACTTGTTTCAACTGACCCAATTTATTTCTGAGACTTTAAATTTAGATTAAACTCAAATATCAAAATTTTACATTCAAAAAACAGTCGGCATTGAACAAAGAAAGATGAGCTGCTTCAAGACATGTTCACAAGTGACGGACTCCAGTATTGCTATGATTATTCCAAAACAATCCCGGTCTAGCAACAACATGGGAACAAACATGGGAGCCTGAGTATGAATAACTTGTGAAAGCTATGTGAATTTATGCAGAGAAAGGCAGCTATGGCATGAAAAGCTATTACAATGGGCAGCAACCTTTCATGAAGATGCATAAAGAATATAGATTTCCATTTCGCGGTAAAAGCATCGGATAGAATTTAAGCTATCATGAAAAATAATATCCCAGCCAGAATCCCATTCTTGAAAAACAGAAGCGAAAACTAAGACATCCCGCCCAGTTAAGCCACATGCAAGTCGAATCAAAAATATGCACGAATTTTGGAAGAGCTGGAGCAAGGAGGCTGTAAGTCGCAAGGCCGAGCACCACATCGTTCCTAATTTGGACGAAACAATGATTACATGGCCGAAGATGTTCCAGAAAGAGCCTCATCAGTGTAGATAACTATTGCTTGAGCACCTGCCAGTATTAGCAGATGCAACAAAAGCATTGAATTATTTTGGACATGCTATGGACGACGCATAGCTGCACAGATGACGTTCAAAAGGCCAAGCGACGGAATTTGCAAGGATGAGCACTCTCCACACCATTCACTTATCACATGTGACAGCAGCAAAATGGGACCAATTGGGCCATTAAGGAAAGTGGAAAAGTGGGCTGAAAAGTCATCGTCATATGACAGACTCAATTGAAAATGTAGACGTCTGAAGACTGCTGACTAAAAGATGTCTGGTGCTGTACTTACAGACATGAAAAATCGCAGAATCTTTCTAGAAGTAGCCCTTAAAAGGTTACAGAAGCTCGATGATGATTCTTCTTCGACATCAGCGCAGTTGACGAGCACACAGCTATCATCCATATAGAGTGTTTTTTCGTCGTTGGAAGTGGTGATGCCCACTGGGGGCACAAAATGGATCAATGACATCCTCTATGACTTTCAGTGAGTGTGTAGCCCATAACCATCGAAATAAGCTGTTAATGCTCGCTTATGGCTGTATTGACTAGCCTGCACAGCAAAGCGAATAAATGCCTACACAAAATTGGCTAATGGCTTTAGTGAATCGTTGAATTAATAAACGCTCACTTTACAATTCAAAAAAACAACTGTATACCCAAAAAAATCCAATAAAAAATGGAGTAATTTCTCCTGACTCCAGGACATGGGCAAAACAGTCTATTAGCGTTTCATTCGGAAAAATTCTTTTCAGAATATGTCACGACGGGATCTTGTGTATCCGGTCACACATTCTATTGAAAGTTTTCAACTAGTAAATTGGCGCGAGCTGAAAAGAGCCCAAGTGCAACTTTTTGAGCGTGTGGTATCTACATCTACGCGGAATGATCATAACTTAACCCTGTTATTCCAAACGAGTAGTAAATTGTCGCACTCGTATGGAAAAGCTTACTACAGAATATGTTCAATACATGCGAAGCGACTACCTAGAAGGAGTGGTGAGCGTTTGAAGAAAACTTATTCATCCCAAAAATAAAGTTTCTGAAAGAATAGGATGCGTAATTACAGCGATTATGGAAAATCACTTTGCAGGGAAGATACAGCCGTTCAAAACCTAAATAAGTGTTTTTCACACGTTTTCCATCTAATATCTAATATTACAGGATCTTGACAAATCCATACTTTTGAACGGTCATAACTCCTTCCACATATTCGCTTAGCAGACAATAAACTTAAATCGGAGTCAGCGTTTCAGGTGAGTACAATGTTACACAACTTCTTAGGAACTGCTAGGTTAAAATTTGACCAATCCTTCCTCAAAAAGTGTGCTTAAGATGCAGAATGCTACATATAAAAGTTCTTCAACACCTAAAAGAATTCATAAAGACTGACTCGAGAATTTTCGGGTAGAGATCAAAAGGAATCGGATCACGTCCTATTCCTTTTTTGCTACATCTAAGCAACATGCTAGCAATAAAGTTGCAGGACAAATCCCACAACAGCAATAAGTCTCGGTACAAATTGCCAAACGCTGGAGAATGTGCAGAAATCGGTAAGTGGAGAAAAGGGAAACCTCGATAGAAGATACAAGCGTCAGCAAGAACGACTCGTTTGGCATACTGCCACCGCCATGCGGTCCCGTCTTCTCTCGTGGGAATGCAGAAGGGGAGCAGTGAGGGATGTGAGGGCCGACACCAAAATTCTCTGCTCTCTCTCTCCTTCTTTAGAGCACGAAAAACAATGCAAATGAAGCATAAGAGATTTCACATGGGAAGAAATTGATTCCTTCGAAACTGATATGTGTGGAGAGGCTAAGACCGACGTTTTTTCGGTATACGTGGAAAAGAAATGGGGATAATCGAATGACAGATTGCCCAATTTTAGCGTGAAGTGCAGTCGATTGCTCGAGCACAAATCGGCACAAATACCAGTGCAAGACGATGAGAGGACGGACGTCGTTGGCCGTCTCCACCCGAGAACGCCTCGAGAAGCTCTGGCAGAGAAATGGAATTGATCTGACCATGGTAGTCGGCGCTGGTCATTTTATTGAGAAAACGTTGGAAAAAGTAACTAACGGCGAAAGCTGTCACACAACTGATAATTGAAGCTTTGAGCAGAATCAGTACCCAGTTAATCAAGTAATTCCACGCAATTTAGACTGCAAAGCTTTGAAGCAAAATGGATTGAGTAAGAAGCCGCTTCCAAGCAACATCTTCTCGCTTCTCTTCTATTTCTTCTTAAAATTTGCGTGAACAAGACGTTTATGTTGAGTACAGAAAAAGATTACAATGCGAGATCCAATCTTGTTGGAAAGTTTCCAAGCAGGTTCTAAGTTGGACTCCTTACCCCGATCCGACACTGTAACAAGGGCAAAAAATTCTCTTGCAAAAAGTTTTCTTAGGAGGGATCATCATCACGCGCTCGAAAAAAAAATTCCCACAAAGATAAACTATGAACTTTTGAAGTCTAATCACTTACCAGTAAAAATTAGTTAATCGCGTACTTAAAAGTTTTTTTGGAGAAAGGGAATTCTTTGAATTTAGGTGGCGATGCCAAAATTTCTGCGAGCCCATAACACCAAACCTCAGAAAAAGGCAGCAGTTATGTCTCCGCGAGATTTTCTTACAAGAATTTGAATTCAGTTATTTACAAGCAAAAACAAGTGAGCTTACATCATAACCCTTTCAAGTAATTTTCGAAAATCTCGAGACTCATTCCTGGTGCTATTCAAGTAGACGAAAAAGCGATTATTTATGAAACAATAATTTTGGGATGCGTTGCATAAGCTACAAAATTTTGCAGGAACAAAACGCGATTTCGTTCAAAAAGTAACACTGGCACGAATTTTCTGTAACCTAGTGGTTCGGAGTGAGCAAACAGCCAAAATCCATTGGTAATTCGATGACTAGCAAGCAAACAATTGATGAAGTTTTTTGGGAGAAAAAGTAAGTGGTATAGATTGGAATTTTTCGCTGTCAGGAAGACGACCATGGTGGCGGCCAGGATGCACGAAACCACATGATAATTCGCTTTACTCTCTGGCCGGCACTTTCAAGGGCTCAAACACTTTGCTGGAAAGCACTAGAGGGCTTCGCAAGTTCAGAAATCTTTGGACTATGAGGTTGCCAAAATGCAGCTTGAGAGGAAACTAAGCAGGAAATGGTCAGAACTCAACCCAGCCATGCCAAACATGCTGTATATCATTGAATTCGTCTTGAAATGCTGAACACAAATATACGTTTATCATATTATCTGCCAACCGGCTATCTGGAAGGAGTTGTGAGTGTTTAAATGCGCGATTTGTCAAATGTTGTGGCGCATGTTCACCGAATTGGTTTCAAAGACTCTTATTTAGGTTTTGAGTAAATGTGCTTCTTCCTTGTAATTGTAATAACCATAGTCACTGTAAATCCGCGCCATCAGGGCCTTTCAAGGGAATATAGTCGTCGGAAATCCAAGAATTTCCAAGAAATAAATAAATAAATAAATAAATTTCCCATATTTGAATGCTCATAACTCCTTCCAGATCGTCGTTTAGCAGATAACAAACACATATTTGAAATCAGCGTATTAAGACAAGCCCGATGATACACAGCTTGTTAGGAATGGCTGGGTTAAGTTCTGACCATTTAAAGCAAAAAATAGAATATCTCTTCATGATAACAGCTATAATGGGGGAAGTTCTGAGTGGTTTCGATCTTAACCAAGAAATCACCTAGATGTAACATTTGTAATTGAAACCCCATAAAACACCACCAAGTAGTACAAAAAAGCGGCTTGTCAGGCTATTACTTACACTAATAAAAGCATAGCATTGTAGGTATCGTTGTTGGAAGCAACACTGAATCACATACACATTTATCACCCAGGAAACCGCCTCAGGGGGTACATTTCAGAACGCACACGACAATTCTAGGAATCGGACGAATGCAAGTGAGGGAGAGTTGGCTCGTCTTTGAAACATCAATGTTCAGCCTTCTACTGAGAAAGCACGAAAGAGACGGACAGACGCTAGCCAAGCAGCCGAAAAGAAAACGAAGCCAATTAACCAAGTGCAACAAAGGAAATCTCGTTGAAAAATTTATAGCTCAATCGTTACACCGCAATGTTTGTATTACGGATACAATGTGTTTAGGCCGTGTAATCACAGTGTTAGCTGATGTATTCCATTCCTAATCGCGTAGCTAGGTGGAAAAGCTATAAAAGTCAACAGCAAACGCTTTTGAATCATTTCGTACAAGACTTTATTTCGTAGTTTTCCTTGCTAGTTACAAGCAAGAAAAATCATTCACGACTAATTATTCGAACATACTAGATTGTTTTAAAACTTCTAGCTGTTTTCGAAGTTCAACATCGACTCACCTTTTCACCTTAACTCTTTTCGAAAAAGATCATTTTGAGTGTAGTAAGTTATGTTACAACCTACAATCAAGTTGGAATCCTATGCAAAAAATTAGTGCACAAACAACGACAAGGATCTTCTAAGGGAAATCGCGGAACTTTAGGAGCCTCTACTTTGAGAAACCCCCTTTGATTTCACGGCAGTAGGGCAAAAGAGAAATATTCCACATTCGCTCCGCTGTCCTTTCAAGGTACGGACCCACAAATTATATGCACAGAAAGCTAGAGGAAACAACTTCCAAACTGTGTAAACAGTTTTCATGATAATTAGTCGTTTCCTTGAAAATTAGCAGTTGAAAAAGAGGTACAAAAGAGGAGAAGAACTTTTAATACAACCCGATAATGTCGTGTGAAAAAATTAGTTGTTTGTAGTAAAAATTCGTCCAGTCACAACTTGGATGAATTTTTACTGCAAAAAAACTTTCAATTTTGAACTCTTATTTTTACCTAAGAAGACCTCACTTTATCTCGGAAGGAAAGACCGCCTAGAAGTATAGTCAACTAGAAAAGCGTAACTGTTGGAATCGAAACAATGTCATACAAATGCAAAAATTACCAGAAATTTTATCACGCTCTACTTCTAAATCTCCGCCAATTAATTCAGCATGAGATTAATGAGTTCCTAGTTACAAGGGTAACCCGAATGAAAGCCCAATGAGCCTTCTCTCTATTTTCTACCCAACATACCTGCTTCTCAATTCGTTCGCCTACAGACTCCATTGGAGTCAAAATCGCTTTGTATGATGTAATATTACCATTTCGTCTATCTTCTGCTGGCGGCTCCCATGATATTCGCATCTGAAACATCGAGCTTATTGGAAGTACTTCCGCACATTGCTTTATACAACTGGAGTAACAAGTGTTCTTTCTGCACTACCTTGCCGATTTGGAAACCACTTGACGGCATGGCGAAGCGTAGTACTTGAACAAGACTACTCTACAGCAATTCGAAATCGAAGAGAAGTGAGTCGAGAGCACATACACGCAGTTACTTGAGCATGTACTACAGCCCGAGAAGCTACCGCACTCACATCTGGCGCATATCTTTACCGCCGTAAACACTGCACAGCGCCGACCATTCGAAAAACTCTGCCAGAACGGCCCACGTTTCCGTACGTTTACGCATGCAATCTACGCACTAAATTGGCCGGGGACGGTGAGAATAGGAAAAATCTAAAGTAGTTGAAGGGCGGTGTTCAGGCGAATTTAGACCTAGACTCCCTGAGCCATATTCATCAAAACCTACAGACCAAAATTACCTTAAGAGCACACAAGTACATTTTACTATAAGGTTTCAGTTCATCATTAAGTTTAAGCGTACCTTGTGCTTTGTGAATCGGTGCGCTCTCAATATACATTTTACCCTCAAGATTAAAATTAGTTTGCTGATGTGTAGAGCCACTTATTTTCACTGCATGAAGAGCCCTAACTAAACCAATGCCTAAAGGGCAGGTCATAGGATGCATTCGTAATCGAGAAATACAGCTATGAATTTTCCAGTACCGTAACCGAGGATGTGGTCCACTCGGAGACTACGGTCTGGGCGACAGCCAAAAATTTCTCCAGCGAACCACATGTGCCCCAGCTTGGCACTGGCATATTGATACCTCCAATCAGTTCTCACATGGGGAATCTCTATACACTTATGCTCGGACAATTTTAAACAAAGCCAGCCCACTAATAGAATGAAGGGTACGAAACATTAACTTCAACCCGCCTACTACGTTGTATAACAAATTATTTAAAAAGCTCCATGCTTTCGGTCAACATAAAAAAAACACTACTTTTTCGCAGTTGCTTGAGATGCTATTTCACTGCGACGTCCCATAACTGACCACGTCTCTGAGCTAATAATGGTTGAAGCTACGTTCAGATTAATGGAAGCCGCTTGACATTTTTACTCATCGGAGATAAGAATTATTGCAGGAGACAGCAGCTGGAAGCTGCTGTCTCCCGCAATAACTCTTCATCACTTTTTCTTGAATGTTACGGGGATTTCTTGGAACAAAAAAAAGACGTGCCTGCCACAAATGTTGAGCATTTTGGCCGAGCATTTTTGAAGCGAAAAAAATGCTCATTCCATTCACTTATAACACATGCCAAAAAATTCTCGTCCATAACAACACACATCACTCCACCATTCTCCATCACGTGCTGCTAATTATTGTTGCAGGAGAATATAGGAAAAGAAATTTTTTTGACTGCAACACAAAAGGAGGACATTTGCAGGTAGCAGAAGAATCTGGCAAATTTTGCTGCCTCAGGTAGCAAAAACCGAGAGCAAGAGTGAACGATTCTTTGCAGGACGTGTCGTTCGGCACAAAAAAAAAGCTTTCTATTGCCTACACATCCATTACACACAGCACAACCAACCTTTCCGTTGACGATTTCGTACTGAACGTTAAGCGGCTCTCCTTCCGGATTCCCGACAGGTGTTACCAATTGTTCTGTGGCATTAGAACTTTGTCCTTCAACATTCTCCGCACCCAACAGAATTTCGTATACCCGGCCCATTACTGAAAATAAATCGAGGTCAAAATGAAAACATCATGGAGAAAAAGTGTGAAACCTACATAGTCCGCTCAATTCAGCACTAGTAGCCGTTCCATTTACGACCTTTTTGAAATACTCCGTACTTCCCTCCGCCTTGTACCAAAGATTGTACCTGAAAAGGAAAGAAATGGCTCAGAAGGTCAAAATTCACCTTGAAACCATTTTTGGTTTTTATAAGCGGCTATATTGCTAAACAGAAGTGAGCACAAACAAAAGTCTGGTGAAAGGAAGTACTTTGAGCTTGTTTGAAAGCCTAAGCATTTTCTCAAAGTGTCGTTAAAGCTACAAAAGGAAACATGAACGTTTACTGGGCATAATTTTCTTTGAGTAATGGAACTGTATCTACTTGGCTTTTTCATCTCTAAATCACACACCTATCCACGGGACTTTCCAGAGGAGCGAGTTGAGGTCTTTTCCACTCGACGTGAGCCCTCAAGGGTGCTTCGTCACCACGTAGTTCTACTGATTGAATTTCCGGCTGGCGTGGAGCTGAAATACATCCGTGAGTAAATGCGATTTTTGACTGCAAGAGCAAGATGGCTACTATAAGGGTATCAGTCTTAACCCCTTTAAACATTTTCAAGCCTCCATAGAAAACGAATAATTTTCCGTAGCAAGCAAACCGCGCAAGGGGTGTCTCGCATCGTTCAGTTGGAATACGACCAAGCATAATGTAATGGTACGTTTTGCACAAAGGTAGAATTATTTCTGTTGATTAGGGTGGAAGCCTATGAGACTGATATTATTCGCACTTAAATACTCTTGCGCATTTCAATCATAAAATGACACCTTCCGTCAAAGCCATCCAAAAACTGTCAACCAAATTTTAGAGCGCATTAGAAGTCACCGAAAAACGTACGAATTCCTCCAGTGACTATCCGCTTCGTTTCCGTATATTCTCCATCTCCATTACGATTGAAAGCATTCATTCGAAACGCATATTCCGTATTCGGTTCCAATTTATCGATCTCCCAATACCGTTTCTGCAAAGGTTGCAATAAGTAACGTATTCTGGAAATCAAAACATCTCAAACGGACCGAAAGATCGTTTATAACGTCATATTTGGAGCGACGTCGATTTACAGGTTCTCCATTCAACAATTTCTCTACATACACATAGTAGCCACCAAAATTGCTGTGACCATTGACATGCAAGGGGCGGTCCCATGTCAATTTCACCTAGGATAGAATTTAAATAAAATGCTGAGGTTAAATAGAACATTATGCATACCTGATTTGGAGCAGTGAGAACGACGTCAAAATTCAATGGCGCGGATGGGACTGAAAAAATAGACGATCACGAAAAAAAAATGGTTTTTTTGGTTCTTATCACTAAAGAAATCTCTACAGCCCATTCACTACCGGATCTGATTTATACCTTTTGTTACTAAGAATAATGGAAGCGCTGTAGTGTAAAACGAAAATGGTCCGTTGGGAAATCTTTACAAAAGTACACAGCTCGACCAGCTCACATTTGGGGGAACTTTTGCTGTTTACAAATTCATATGCACTTACACATCATAAAGGGTGGGTGTGGAAAGTCGTAATTATGCAGTGCATGGAAATTTTTATTAATTAATTCGGCTTACTATGGCAGTTCCACGGAACTTCTAGTTCGTAAGCCTCGTCATTATTCTTCGAGGAGAAGAATCATATGATATGCAGGCATTTTTTATATGAAAAACCCCGCTGCAACACTTGCACGCTTGGAAACAAAAGTTCTCACGCATAGATTACTTTCTTGCTTCCGTGAGAAACCTCTCAATTTTCATGACTAGGTAGCTTAATCTGAGCAAAGCACAGCCCAGCCACGTTGTGCACAAGAAGTCATATAAGCAGATCTGAGGCCTATAACAATCCATGTATGGGGTTGAGTTCTGCGCAAAAATGGACACTAAGGATACAGGCTTTATAATAATTTTAAACACCAGTTTTTTGTAGAAAAAATCTCAGCATCTGTGCGTTCAAATAGCAAACTTTCTTCCAAAGTGATTACATCATTTATGTGAAATTCTGTATGCTTACAAGCAGCGCAATACCTCCCACGATGTATAGAGACTAAAATCATGGTTTTTCATCCAAGAAAACAAATTAGAGCGCTTTCTCCTAAATACTAGCAAAAAATCTCATGTAGCATGCTTTTCAACGATTTTTCATTGCAAGTCGCATATTTTTCTTTTGCTCACACTCTTGCAATGGTGAACTAGGCCGGTTCTGTTTTATAGGGCCCTTTCATTTCGTTTTGGCTTATATACTCAAGTATTCGATGCAGTTTCGAGGGTGAAAAAGGTTCAGATGTTCTTTTCTACACAGAATAGGCAGGATAGAAATGAGTTTAAAATACTTTCAACTAATTCAACTCAATTCTCTATTCCACGCACTAGCTAACTAACGAATCTCGAATCTACCGTGGCACGGAATTAGCCAAAAACATTTAAAAAGTACAGAAAACTAGTTTGGAATTACAATTTTGAGTAAATCTGTGTGAAGGCGCTTTTCCTTACGATAAAAACCTGAAGCATTGTAAAAACAAGCGAAGGTGTTTTGCATGAACCCCGCGATGAAAGATCAGTACCCCAGAAGTCGTTTTAATTCTCTATAAACTAGTTCAGAAGCAATTTTCTTTCCAGCACCTAGTAAGGCAGTGAGTTCTTGTATCAAAAGTCTTTTTTGTGGAGCTCAAGCCAGAAACTTCAATTGACTTTAGCAAAACCGACAAATTTCTAATGCTTTTTTTTCTGAAACAAATGTCAAATCTTGTTTGGTTTTCTGTTACGACCACCTTTTGAATAAACTATGACAAACTGAGTAGGACAGAACTGACTGGAATTTCCGTGGAACTGCCATAGTAAGCCGAATTAAACAATAAAAGTTTCCGTGCATTGGATTCCGAATTTGCTCAATCTGAGAGGGATTTTTTCTAGAGTAAAGCGGGGCACACGAATTTTTACATCTGCATAATCGGACTTCGGATCTTCAGAACACAGTAGAACCGTCAGGCCAATTATTGCATGGTTTTTCGTTATGCTTCAGCAGAATTTTTGCCTTGGTAAAAGCGCAGGCAAAAATACGCCAATGATGTTCTCATTCGCATTGCATTTTACTTCATCAAAAATTACGCGTGGTCGTGCTTTCTTACAAAAATACACTCAAATCCTTTGTGGGAAATAGGAGTGAACCCAAATTATGAAAAAGGAATGTTGCATTACATGATACAACCACTCAAGATTTACGAACGGATTTTCCGCAGAACTACATTCGATCTTAAATCTACAAAGAAAGCGTGTTTCAGTCGAAGGGGTCTTTCAAATTGAGTCCATCAAAATGAAGAGCATTGAAGGCGCTTTTAAATCTATTTTAATTTTCGACCAAGTGCTTCAGCGATTTGAACAAAAAATGAAAGCGTAAGATCAAATTTTGATTTTTTTCAAATTTTTCTTCTCAGCGCTAAAATAGATCAATCTGGTATGAGGCTTATTAGCTTACTGGCTTTTAACATAGGCCATTCGGATCTGGACAATTTTCCTGAACCCGCGTTCAATTTTTACCAAAAAAGTTTATAGCTGGATGTGGGACTACCGCTTGATACTATCCAAGTTAGTGTTTTGGAAAGGCCACTTCGATCGATTACATTTCCATCGTCAGTAAGGGAATTAAAAGTCGTCGGTGTAAATGTATAGTTTTGAGAATAAATGAAAAAGGTAACGCAGTTGTTCTTGGGCTGCCTTTCGTCAGTCGTAATCATTTCAGGTCCTAAAAACATTGACTCTAAACACTCAAAAAAGCTGATTGCCTCTGTTCATAACTGCTCTAACTGCTCCTACGTGCGCTAAATCGACTCGTTCCTTTGTTAATTGAACAAGTAGTGCGTACTAGCACTACCTTTCACAGCCGTTTCCTGGCAAGAACTCGCAATCGATGCGAAGCCCCGAATGGACATGCCTGACATCAAACAAATTTTCGGCTCTCGTCCAGCTCTATATGCGCGTGCGTAAACTCAATACATCCGCGAGCACCCACTTATGCTATCACCGTCAGTTCACCTCGATAACGAGGAATACCGAGTGGAGTACGAAAAAATGCACAAACCTTTCTGATTTTGCGACGCCGCATCATTTCGCTCAAAAAGCAATAGTAGCGATAGTAATAAGGGTATTAAACCCATGTCGTGCAAGCACTCGAGTCAAGGATTGCACATGCTCTGATACGAAAAAACTCATAGAAAAAAGAAATGGGCGGCGGCCTGGCAAAAAGTAACAGAACGAAATTAAGTGCACGGTAGAGGGGAATGAGTTAAGACGGGGGCGAGTGAGCAAGGAAAACGGTCTCGAGGGATGGCGAGTCAACAAATGATGTGCAGGCTAAACAGATCCCGCGTTGGTCGGCCAGGCTCATCACACATCGGCCACCAGCACAAATCAACTTACGATGCACTTATCACCGAAAAAATCGGATATTCTTAGCGCTTCTCTGGCAGAAAAAACAGCCTCTGAGAAACGAGACCTCCACAAACTCATTTCCGACTTTTTTAAGACGAAAAGTGTTTTGCTGTAAAGACTGCGATGAATAGGACCCAGAAGAGAAAGATAAAACGAAACAAGACATAAGGCAGAAAAAGCAGGCTTCTGCCTGTTGTTGTGCTCCCTAATTAGACGCCCATTCAGGAAAGTAGTCTGTAGATTGTTTCCTAATCTATGGAAAAACATTAACAAGAGCGAAATGTTAACAACTAAGATCTCAATGCACAAAAATAATCTAGTTAGCTTCTCTTCGTTCAAACCGTAAGTCCTTTCAGTATATATACATACATAAGATAACAACGCGAATCATCTTGTTCATTTACGCTATCAAGCCTGAGAGACTATGAAGAAGACTTTGATGCGTTACACCAGTTCAGTTGAATATTGAAGGCTCGAGGACCATAGAATAGGAACATTTCGAAAAGTGAAAGCGATTTCTGGTATTTGTCTTTCTTTCAGTATAAAATAGAAAAAAGACGGTTGATTTTCATAGGTTTAGAGCCTAACAAAATGTACGGTTTGATAATGAAGGCATCTTACGAAAACTTCAGAGAATATGTAAAGCGAACGGGTAGCATGGATTGAGAAAGATGGAGACACCTCTCCACAATAAATAAGAGGAAGCATGAAAGTAAGACTGATTAACATTGCGAGAAAGGAATTGAAAGAAAGGCAATATGTCTAGCATACTTCCGCTCTAAAAGAAACGCACCAAAAGGTCAAAGACATCCCAATAAAGGAGGAGGTCAACCAAAGCAGGAACATTCCTGAACCGCGAGTAGCTGGGACTAAGCTACGCAGAAAAAGAAAGAGAAAAAAGGGCAGAATACGGATCATCGCTGAAAATCGGGCGGCATGTAGCTGGCTATAACAAGTTGTGACAGCGACGAAATAAGAACGTTGCTGAAGACCAGAGTCGATCAGCAAAGAAAAAATTCTGAGATTAACCAAAATCGATGCTGAAAATGGCAGCAATTACGGGGGCTACTCTCAGAGGAGAGCGGAGAGCCGGCGAATTCAACGCATGGGTGGAAAAAAGTGACGATGCTCGGGGAACCCGCTGATGCATGGGTCCATTCAGGCTGCAGCCCGCAATACACACGATTTACATAATCGCAATCCATCACCGGCTGATGGGGATCGGCCCTGATGCGACGACAGCTCTCAGATGAAGTGATGACCTTACAATAGATGAGGATATTCCAGGAAATTGAACGAAACGTTATTCTGCTCGACGGAATACGAGAGAAGAGTACTAATGCACTCGTGGAACACAATCACAGCTACTATTGGGTCTTATATGTCTTATAAGGGAAGAATAACAACTGATGAGCACTGATACACTTCTCACAAATCGCACAATTTTTTCAGCACCTAGGGAAATAATTGCTTCCGAAGTGGGGAGACGCGGAGCAAAACCAAAGCTCAAACTTTCGACAAAATCACATGAAGAAAATTTTGTAAAGAACAAATGAGCAAGAACACCTATTAAGAAGTTTAGATAACAACAATTTTGAGTAGAATACCATTTGATTAAGTAAAACACAATGCGTTTATATCAACATAAAATCTCAGCGCAATACGCTTTTGCAAATTTGTAGTCGACAAAACATCTGGCAAGTCGCCAAATCGTCCGCATGCAAAAAACCCTTGATGACTAACAAAATGTGATTAATATGTGCATTATCAGACTAGTTGTAGCAACAACTTATGAAGCATGCAGCTGACATGAAAAATGGGCGGTCTACCAAAACCAAGATTATAAACAAATAGACAAAGGAAACCCGCGACACTAAGCAAAAACTGCACTAGTAACAGAAGTGAAGCGTACTGTAAGCGCGATAGTGCATAAAACGAAAGCCGATTAATGAACAAAGACATTATTCAAATAATGACGCAGTAAATGTAAAAGTACTAATTTCCTCTCCTGAACACGTCAGAGGAAGTGGTTATCAGAAGAATTGAACCACATATCTAAAATGGGCGTAGCTGACAGAAAAAAAACAGGTTAAAAAATAGGAAAATGGTCATGATCAAAGAAGGATTTTAGTTGACGCTCGGAGCGAAATAGGCGCGCTTGTGTGCCAGCGTGATCGATTTTGGATGATCTACCGTTGCAATTAATCTACACTGCCCTTGAGGAGTTTGGCAGGATGCCGAATACATCAAGAGTAGATCTAAAATGACTATCAAAGAGAGACTGGAGATGAAAAAAGCTCAGTTATAAAGCACAATGGTAAGAACGTAAGCATTAAGAGATATTAGCTATTCACTAAACTTACACATAAAAGGTGAGAATGTATGCCATAAAATGAATGTGGTGCATTTGCACTACAAACCGTGCCAATAGAATTCGATGCTACAAATTTGAATTGGTAGACTTTTACAGGCTTCTTTTTGCACATTTCTAAGCAAGTACCCATAAATCAAATTTTAGTGCAATCACACCACGTCTGTCAAATCTAGAACCACTTAACATCACTCATGCACGAACACGCTTATTTGTAAATGAATTTTTCTTCCGACTTGCAAAACCATAGCGCGTTCTTAAATAATGATGCTGGAAATCTTGAGAATGTTTTCCTAAGAAGGATAGCACATAAGGTCGATAGTGAAGATGCCCTTTATGTATCGATTGCTTGTTAAGAGATAAGCGCGAGCTAGATAATTATTGATTTTTTGTTAGCCTGAATACACCGCACAAATAGTGTCAGTGCGTGGCTGAGAAATTGCGGTCAACTGCAGGTAATTCTTCCTATTTTCCATTTGTGGATTTCATCGTGCAAAAAATAAGAAAAGTAATCAGTGCCTGTTCTCTAAAAATATTTGCATTCAAACAACAGAGTTTAATAGTTCAGTAGTGTTTTTAAAAGCAAATAAAATTCAATTCGCATCAAATAAAATCTAAACATTTATTGCTTAGCTCAGACTTTTTCAGAAAACAGATATCAAGAAGAGGGCAGTATGGATTACCTGAAATTGGAGGAATTCTGTAATTTTTGGCAAAAATATAGCACTCACAAAGCCAAAGTTGCGTTCGTTTGAAACTGGCAGCAGGTGAATAGCCTCAAACATCGATCATACCTCGCGCGATTCCGCGAAATCGCGGTTGCAACGCATTTGGCTTTTCGCCAAACATCTATGCACCTTATGCGCGGATTTCAAATGTATAGGACGACTTTGTGAACTTGCAACCATTTACGTTTTGTTCACATTGCGCTACAGAATAATTATGAGAAATCGTAGCAATGCCAAAAGGGAGCAATGAGTGCTTTACAATAATGATGCGAACTTTCGCGAAGTTTCTGGTGTAAACGGGAGAGGAAACGCTCTAAAAATAGGATCTTTCAAGGCGATTAATTGTGAAAAACAGACGATGTTTTCTTTTCAGTCATTTAGACGCTATAAATGCTATTTATAGCACAAAGAAAGCACACGATGAGCTAGCTTGAATGAGTTGATTGCAGTTTTGAAGCAGGTGCTAACGTTAATATAGCAAGATGACTAGAAACATTCCCACATTAGAATTCTCGTATGATTCGTAATGTAGCAGCTCTATAACTTCTCAAAGTATCGAACTAATCCGATTTGAAGCCGGTTCTCATAGTTGAGTTTTTCTCTACTGATTTCGAGATGAATTTGTTATGGTTGTTTCTTTTTGATGATTTGAGACGAGAAAGCGGAAACCAGTGGTAATCCAAGAAGGTAAGACAGATTGAATGTGGAGCGGATGCATGTAAGTGTTTGGGGATATCTAGGAAGAGAGGTACCATTTGTTGATTGGAGGGAAATTCTCACGGGATTACTTACAAAGGCAAACCTCTCGGCCGACAAAGCACCTACTCTATGAAGGCTTGGATGCACAGAAAAACTCAGCCGGAAGTGTTTTGTACTTTTCATGAGAGAGGATTTCGGAAAGAGTAGGTGTGAGCGAGAGAAATACTACTGGTGAGTGCATGAGATACGCAAAAGCTAATGATTGCCTCGAGTGCAGTGGGAGAAATTCTCGAAATGGTGGCGGAATTGCCAGCAGCAGTCCTCTATGGACCTCAATACTTTCACTCGCGCAATTACAGCTCTAGCTATGCGTAATTAATTTACGGAATATCGAGCGAGTGACCAGCACACACAGCACACGCAAATTAGGTGGACTTCATCGCGAGAAGAGCTTGAGAATGGAACGCCGTGGACGGATAAATGAGTTTCTCCAGAGGAGATGGAGAGCTGGCGAGATTGAGAAAATCGAAGAAGCCAGGTTCGTTCAAAGGTCAGTCGAAAAGGCGCTGATAAATGGACTATCCATTAGCTAGGGATGTCGAGAAGTGAATAGATTTTCCTTTAAAATTAGCCTCAGTCAAAAACAAAATAAGCCTATGATATATGATATCCACTCACAATTCATTTCTCACTTCAATGATGTAGAAAGAAAAAAATCAAAGCAACATTTCGAGACCGCCCTTCAAACTGAAAATTTGGGAGAGATAGCGGAAGAAGAATAGAACCCTGAACAACATAAGTTTCGCGATAGGCATATGCTGATGCAGATTCCGAGAGCGGCATAGATAGCGAAGCAATGAAAGTGAAATCAAGCTTGAAAGGAAAGCAGCTGGTTCGGAGAGATAATCGCACTCTCCTCTAACACAGCAGTCAGTGAATCATGTGTGAAGAATTACGGCGGAGAAGCATATCCCTAGTAGTAAGAACTATAGCAAGAATGTGATTCTGGTTGTACTACATTGGAAGACTATAAGTTAGCGCCTGTTTAGTAACAACATCAAAGCAATCTCCCAAATTTAAATGTTGAAGTGAAAAAATAGAGGAATCATC